CTGTCACAAGGACATCTAGGGGGAAGTCCACCCTCATGATCTAATCACCCCCCACCAGGCCCCTCCTCCAGCACTGGAGATCACAATTCAAAGTGAGATTTGGGCCAAATCATATCAATTATTAATTTTTGTTTTATATAAACAGAGACGAGGTTTCCCCATGTTGCCCAGGCTGGTCTTGAACCCCTGGGCTCAGGCCTCCCAAAGTACTGGGATTACAGGTATAAGCCACTGTGCCCAGGACTCCAACCTTTGTGAGAAAAAAATAAACATAACTGCTTTAAGTCACTGTTTTTTTTTTTTTTTTAATTGGTTTTTTTTTTTTTTTTTTTGAGACAGAGTCGCACTCTGCTGCCTAAGCTGGAGTGCAATTTCGTTATCTCGGCCCACTACAACCTCCATCTCCTGGGTTCAAGCAATTCTCCTGTCTCAACCTCCAGAGTAGCTGGGATTACAGGCATGCACCACCACGTCTGGCTAATTTTTGTGTTTTTAGTACAGACAGGGTTTCACCATACTGGCCAGGCTGGTCGAAGTCAGTGTTTTTTAAACATTTCTGCAGGGCACCAATGAAACATGTCATTCTGTAACTTTTCTTCTTTTACTTATTCATACCTCCACATTAATATACATTTAATAATTTTTGCTGTTTGATAGTATGTTGGATTAAAAATGGCCATAATGGAAAACAGTCTGGCAGTTCTTCAAAAAGTTAAACATAGGATTACCGTGTGATTCAGCAATTCCACTCCTAGGTATATTCCCCAAAGAAGTGAAAAAGGGTACATGAATGTTCATAGCAGCACTATTCATAATAGCCTCAAAGTGAAAACAACTCAAATGTCCATCAAATGATGAATGGATTGTAAAAATGAGGTATACTCATATATGCAAGGGTGTCCAATCTTTTGGCTTCCTTAGTCTGCAGTGGAAGAAAAATTGTCTTGGGCCACATATAAAATACACTAACAATAGCTAATGAATTTTTTACAATTGCAAAAAAAAACCTCATAATGTTTTAGGAAGGTTTACAAATTTTTGTCTGGTGGCATTCAAAGCCATCCTGGGTCATAGGTTGGACGAGCATGATATAATGGAATATTACTCAGGCAATAAAAAGGAATGGCCGGGTGCAGTGGCACACACCTGTAATCCTAGCACTTTGAGAGGCTGAGGCAGGTGGATCACGAGGTCAGAAATTCAAGACCAACCTGGCCAACATGGTGAAACCCCGTCTCTTTAAAAAAAAAAATTATAAAAAAAAATGAAAAGGAATGAAGTCACAACATGGATGAACCTTGCAAACACTATGCTGAATGAAAGAAGTCATTCTAAAAGGTCACCTATTGCATGATTTCATTCCCATGAGATCTCTAGAATAGGCAAATCCACAAAGACAGAAAGCAAATGAGTGGTGAATGGAGGCTAGGGGTTGACAGGAATCACATGACTAATGAGTATTGGTTTACTTTTGGAGGGATGAAAATATTCTGGAACTAGAGAGTGGTGATGCTTGTACAACACTGTGAATGTACCAAATGCCACTGAATTGTACACTCGAGAATGGCAAATTTGGAGTCATGTGAATTTACCCTTTCTCCCTTCCCCCAGTGGCCACAGATTCCTTGCAATTCCTTCCATCAAGAGAGTCTGGGATCTGGGCCAAGCATGGTGGCTCATGCCTGAAATCCCAGCACTTTGGAAGGCCGCGGCAGGCAAATCACTTGAGTCAGGACTTCAAGACCAGCCTGGCCAACATGGTGAAACGCTGTCTTTACTAAAAATACAAAAAAAAAAAAAAAAAAAAAAAATGGATTCTCCTGGTCTGTCTACTAAAACTAGAAAAAATTAGCCGGGTGTGGTGGTGGGTGCCTGTAATCCCAGCTACTTAGCGGGCTGAGGCAGGAGAATTGCTTGAACCTGGAAGGCAGAGGTTGTAGTGAGCCGAGATCACACCACTGCACTCCAGCCGGGGTGACAGAGTGAGACTGTCTCAAAAAAAAAAAAATTCTCAGGTCTGGGATCTGTACTGGCCTTATGTCAGGCTTTGACCAATTAAATATGGCAGACGCAACATTGTGTGACTTCTGCACAAGTTCTCCAAAGGTCTTGCAGCTTTTGCTGTCACCCTAATGGACTGCTGAGACTGTCGTGGTTTAAAGAAAGACCACGTGGAGAGAGCGAACCAGCGACCCCAGCCATCCCCACGAGCTCCTGCCCTTTCGGGAGGCCACACAAGACACAGCTGAGCAGCTTTCTGACTGCAGTCACCTGAGAGAGCCCAGGGGACGGCACAGAGGTCAAGCCCCATCAAGCCACAGAATTGTGAGAAATAACAAATTATTGTCTTCAGCCACTTAGTTTTAGGTGGCTTGTTACACAACAGACAACTAACACAAATAGTATGTCACTGCGCACATTTACCATAGTTTGCTTAACCAATCTCCTTCTGAGAGGCTTTTAGGTTGTGTCCAGGTTTTTAACTTTTCTTTTCTTTGTTTTTTTTTTTGTTTTTTTTGAGACAGAGTTTCCCTTTTGTCTCCCAGGCTGGAGTGCAATGGCAGGATCTCAGCTCACTGCAAACTCTGCCTCCCGGGTTGAAGCAATTCTCCTGCCTCAGCCTGCCAGGTAGCTGGGATTACAGGCACCTGCCACCATGCCCAGCTAATTTTTGTATTTTTAGTAGAGATGGGTTTTCACCATGTTGGGGTGGTCTCCAACTCCTGACCTCACATGATCTGCCTACCTGGGCCTCCCAAAGTGCTGGGATTATAGGCGTGAGCCACCGCGCCTGGTCAGGTTTTAAACTTTTCTAAGCAATTTTTGTCCCGGATATTCTTATAGAAAAAACTGTGCACTTAAGTGATTTTTCCTAATACTTCAACAGCACACACTTGGATTTGATGGAAGCTCTGGAAATAAAAATCAAAAAGTATTCTCCACTCATTCCAGAAGCAAAATTAATAGTGGTGATTTCAGGCAATTTCTGGTGAAGAAAACAAGGCGTTGCTAACAAGAGTTTATGTAAAATTGGTCCTGGGATGAACCCCATGAATCTTACTCCCACCTTTCTTGGATGGCCAGCCTCTTGTTGTTGTTCTGTATTGCTCTTCATTTTATATTGCTTTGTTTTGTTTTGTATTGCTTTGTATTGCTTCCCTTTGGGTGGATGGGATCCCTGGAGGTATACATAACTTGACTTTAAAAACTATGAAAACATACCTCTGCCAAGACCTGCGCCACTGAAATTGATGCTCTGAGCCTCCCCGGACTCTTCATAGAGTTTGTTTCCTGGATTAAACCTGTGAATGAGCGTATCGATCAATAAAACTCAAGTCACATATATAGAGCAACAGAGACTTTGATGGAGATAGACATGCATGTGTGTGAGATTATCAAAAGATCTAGAGCAGCTGTGAGTGACAGATACCCTCTCATTAAGGTGACTGAATTATGACTATTCCATTAATAAATGCAGGGAAGTTGGTAGAAGTTGATGGGAGAGTGAAGAAGGTTTTGAAGTGTGAGAAGAACCTCACTAGAAAAATTCAACAGATGGTTGGAAATGTCGTTGGGACTTCTTGTTATTGTTTGTTGTTTTTGTTTTTTTTTTTTTTTTTTTGAGACAGAGTCTGGCTCTGTGGCCCAGGCTCGAATGCAGTGGTACTATCTCCACTCACTGTACCTGCAACTCCCAGGCTCAGGTGATCCTCCCAAGTAGCTGGGACTAACAGGCATGCACCACCACACTCAGCTAATTTTTTTTTTTTTTTTTGATAGAGATGGTGTTTTTCCACGTTGCCCAAGCTAGTTTCGAACTCCTAAGCTCAAGCAATCCAACTGCCTCAGTCTCCCAAAGAGCTAGGATTACAGGCATGAGGCCCTGCGCCTGGCCTGTGGCTGGGAATTCTTATAGCTTGAGTAACAGATTTGCGGATCATTTATGAAGAGACGGCAGGTGAAGTACAGAGAATTCATGATAAGAAAATAAGAATAGGTAGAAGAACTCATGCTCGGAATCCACCATGTTTTGGAGGGAGAAGGAGCAGAGGAGCCGCAAGGGGAGAAAGTGGCCAAAGAGAGAGGAGAGCCAGACAAACGGACTGTCACAACAGCTAAAAAGAACCGACTTTGTCATTTGTGGCACCCTGTGCAAAATGAAAAGGCAGGGCCCTTTGTTCAACAATTAATAAGAATATTGGCTGGCGTGGTGGCTCATGCCTATAATCCCAGCACTTTGGGAGGCCAATGCGGGCAGATCACCTGAGGTCAGGAGTTGGAGACTGGCCTGGCCAATATGGCAAAACCCTGTTTCTACCAAAAATACAAAAAATTAGCTGGGCGTGGTGGCGGGCGCCTATAATCCCAGCTACTCAGGAGGCTGATGCAGGAGAATCCCTTGAACCTGGGAGGCAAAGTTTGCAGTGAGCCAAGATTACACCATTGCACTCCAGCTTGGGCACCAAGAGCGAAACTACATCAGAAAGGGAAGCAGGGAGGGAGGGAGGAAGGAAATTAGGATATTAGGCTGGGCGCAGTGGCTCATGCCTGTAATCCCAGTTCTTTGAGAGGCTGAGGTGGATCACTTGAGGTCAGTAGTTCGAGACCAGCCTGGCCAACACAGTGAACTGCCCCCCCCGCCCCCCGCTGCTGCCATCTCTTCTAAAAATACAAAAATTAGCTGGGCGTGGTGGCACACGCCTGTAATCCTAGCTACTTGGGAGGCTGAGGCAGGCGAATCACTTGAACCTTGGAGGCACATGTGGTAGCGGTGAGTGGAGATCATGACACTGCACTCCAGCCTGGGTGACAGAGTGAGACTCGGTCTCAAAAAAAAAAAAAATAAAAGATAATATTAAGGCCAGTGCAGTGGCTCACGCCTGTAACCCCAGTGCTTTGGGAGGCCAAGGTGGGAGGCTGTCTTGAGGCTGGGAATTCAAGGCTGCAGTGAAGTATGATGGTGCCGCTGTACCCTCTGTCTCTAAAATAAAAATTTGTTTGTGCTCACTTTGGCAGCATATACACTAAAATTAAAGCAAGACAGAGAAGATTAGCATGGCCCCGGCTCAAGGATGACACATAAATTCATGAAGTGTTCCATATTTTTAAAATATATATATTAAAAACTTTTCAGGCCGGGCACAGTGGCTCACACCTATAACCCCAGCACTTTGGGAGGCCGAAGCATGTGGATCACCTGAGGTCAGGAGTTCAAGACTAGCCTGGCCAACATGGTGAAACCCTATGTCTACTAAAAATACAAAAAATTAGCTAGGCCTGGTGGTGCACTCCTGTAGTTCCAGCTACTTTCGAGACTGAGACAGGAGAATCGCTTGAACCCAGGAGGTGGAGATTGCAGTGAGCAGAGATCAGGCCATGCACACCAACCTGGGCGACAAGAGTGAAACCTCACCTAAAAAAAATAAAATGAAATAAATAAATAAATTTAATTTAATTTTTAATTATGATGTTTGTTTTTAATTATTATAATAAAAATAAAATATACATAGTAAGTATATATATTTATGGGTACATGTAATGTATGGATACAGGTATACGATGTGTAATAATCACATTGTTTGTAATTGTGATTGAGATATTCATCGCCTCATGGATTGATCATTTCTTTGTGTTATGAACATTCTAATTCCACCCTTTTAGTTATTTAAAAATTATTATTGCTATGGTCACCCTGTTTTGCTATCAAGTCCTAGTTCTTTAGTCATCCTATTAAGAAAAAGTTGTATTTGCAGTCTGATGCCTAACAAAAAAAAAAAGTAAATAAATATATAAAATAATTGTAAGATAGGAAGAACAGAATATTAAACCACGAGTGGGGAGCTTAGGGCTCTGTGCAATTAACTATATGGGTTGCACACCTAGGAATCTTGCCCTGAAGCCAAGAAGTTAGAGAATTTTTAAAGAGGGGATGTCATGGAGGGTGAAATTGAAAAACAGGGTATTGAATTTGATGATCTCAGGTTACAGTGACTTTTTTTTTTTTTTTTTTTT